TCGAACTCCTGAGCTCAAACAATCCGCCCGTCTCGGACTCCCAGAGAGCTAGGATTACAGGCGTGAGCCACCGCGCCTGGCCTTTAAAATCAATTTCTTGTATTTATTAATATTTGAGAAGGATGGGCACAGTGGCTCACGCCTGTAATCTTAGCACTCGGGAGGCCAAGGCTGGAGGACGGCTTGAGCTCAGGAGTTTGAGATCAGCCTGAGGAAGAGCAAGACCCCACTTCTAGTAAAAATAGAAAAATTAGACAGGCTTGGTGGCATGCGACTGTAATCTCAGCTACTCAGGAGGCTGAGGCAGGAGGATTGTGTGAGCCTAGGACTTTGAGGTTGCTGTGAGCTAGGCTGAGGCCATGGCACTCTAGCCCAGGCTCTACTATTAATAGGTGCCCTTAAAACAAGTTGAAAAAGATAATTTTGTATGACTCTTTTCTTTCATGGATTTACTTGAAATAAATTTTGTAAATTTACATTTTTAGTACAATATTAATTTTTAACAAAAAGAACATTTATTAATATAAAGAGAAAGTATTGGTAACTTTTCCTAGTTTACATTCTGTTCTGTTCTTATTTTGGTTGAATTCTTTCTGGTTATTGGTGCCATATCCAGTGAGATCTATAATATTGTACTGTCTACTTAACTTTGCATAAAGAGACAACTATGAAGTGCTGTTAGAATATTTGAGCATTTACATATCTGACCAGCTTTGAAAGTTATTAAATTGAATGGATCCTGCTAAATAGTCCATATCTAATAATAGGATATCAATCTAACAAGCTAGTAGGGACAATAGACACCATGAAAATAAAACCTTAGTGTTTAAAGCTCGGAGGGGTAAACTCCATTTTTTGTGTGCTGAGCACATTGCTTACCAACAATAATTGGTGGGTGCATACGTGCACACTATTTTGCTCTGTCTGCTCCAGAGCAATTTCTTTTACAAGTATACATGATTTTCAAAATACAAGTGATTATTTCTTTGGGCTTTTTAAAATCACATATGGGTGGGTGGGAAATGAGTCCGTAAATTTGGCAAATATTACAGTTTATCATCTCATTTCAGAGAAGAAGAAACTGAAATATGGAAAGATAAAGCAATTTTGTCAAAAATCTAACAGTCTTTGTCAGCACTTGACTAGGAATTTTGCCCCTGTGGTTGACTGGGCATGCTGGTAGAAACCTGGAAATCTGTAGCTTTTATCGCAATGTTTAGCTTCATTCAACTACTTCCTGCCATTATTTTTACCTTTGCGGCTTGTGTCACAACAGGTTTTCAATGCACAAAATTATACCTACTTATAGAAATATTTCTGTTTGTTGAACCAAGTTCAATGTGGATGCCCGGTTGACATAAAAATCACATTAGTGCTTTTGGATAATGCCAATAATAGTCAATTATTGGATCTAGTGATTTGACTAACTTAAGTAGAAAAAATATACTAAATCAGAAACTCATATTGTGGAATTTGTTGATTAGGTATACTAATATTTGAATGTAAAGAATGTAGGATATAAGCATTTCAAGAAAAGAGCTTAAACTTAATCAATATAATTTTGCCAGTGGACCCACGAGTATAATCAACAACATATTACTGACATATTGTATAATTTCCCAAGAAATTTAAATCCCTACAATTCTCAGGAATTATGTAAATGTAATTGCTGAAGGATATATATGTAAAGCTTGGTGAATTGGAGTGGTCTTGATATAATTTTAAAAATTAATGGTCAAGTAATTATATAGTATCTGTTGTGTGTCTGGTTTTGTATTGGGCATGATGGGAAACACAAGAAAACTTCAAGAGGCATATACTCCAATTGAAGTGAAAAGAACAAACACATAAGAGGCAATTCAAAAACAATTAGGGGCTGAGAGAAAGGAAACATTCCTGCAGGCTAGACATAAGGGAGACTTTACTTGATCTTAGAGCAGAGGATCTGCATAGGCAGAAGGGAAGAAAAAGAACTTGTTACTAGTCAGGGAAGAATGGCCTAAGTCAAGGTACACATGCAAGAATATCTGGGAGGACAAACCAGGTTGACTCCAGATGCTAAGCAAATGTCAAAGAATGGCCAGCCTGGGGCCTTCATGCTGCTATTCGTGCATTGTTCAACATTCATTGTCAGGGTTAAAAGTCT